CAGGGTTTTCTGTCCTGACTAGTAATGACCAAAAGTCATAACCTTCTGGTGGCTCTTCCTTTACCTGAGTAAAATGAATAAGCAGTATCCCTCTATTTCTTAGCAGCTAGGAGGGTTTTAGAGTCTTATCCTGGAACTTTTCACAGACTTTCAATTAAATGGACAAGGAGACCAGACTACCTCATCCTTTCCAGTGTGGACAATTTCAGAGCTGAAATCTGAGCCACAGTGACAGGAGCAGTGAAAAGGAGGTCTCCATCCGCATACTGCACTGACTCAGTAGGGGCCTTCACTTTCCATTCCAGTCAGGAAGCCGACTACTTTATAGCAATAATATCATTCTTCACAACAGACCTTTGGAAATGTTATTATACTTTCAAGTGTACCTGAGCAGTGAACCTATGAGCACTGATATACTTACATGGCAATTGGTATATCTGACATCAGCTTTGGTTCATTCCTTGTTTCTAATGCTTGCTCCAAGAAGGGATAAAGTCCTGACTTTTGCCCCCTAAATATTTTAACTTTAGTTTGTATTCCTTAATTGTATATTGTTCTGTGATTGACTCTTCTGTAGAAATATGATTCTATAATCCGTAATACATCTGCACTTCACAATGCCATCACTATTGGGTTTTTTTGAAGTAACAATCTTGTTCAGATAAGTGGTTAGTATGTGGGACTACTGTGGTAATTTTAATTGCTCAGAGGGCTTGTTGGTTTGACTAGGATGAACTGAATTAGCATCTTAAAAATGATTTTATCATAGTTATAGCTTAGCATAAATAACATTTTGTTATCTACACTAAAAAGTTAAAAAACATGACTTGTGACGGATCTCTTGCATGGCTTTGAGCAAGTCACTTTACTTTCCAGGGTCTCTGCTTCTCAAGATTCAAAAAGGGAGGAATAATTTTTATCTTTCCAAGTAAAGTTTTATGGATTTGTGTATAAAAAGTCATTGTACAATAGCTCTCTCTATTATTAAATAGTAGAGGTTCAAAAACTTCTGCTAGGATCCATATGTTCCAAGACAACAAGTTGAAATACATGTGTGTGCATATGCATTCACCAGTTCATCAGTAAAAAAAAAGAGGATTGGCCTTTGAGTTACAATCATTACTATTTAGCATTACACTTCATTACTGAAAAGCCTAAAAAGCATTTTTTAAGCTGTGGACATGGGCCTTGCTTCACACTCTCTTCACAAATCTCTCTTAAGTATTATTGTTTTCTCCAAGACCAAGCATTCCTAAGATATTTAACATTTACTGAAGTTCTGATGTTCCTCCAATAATAGGTGTATAATGACTCCAGTTTTAATTTTTGTTTTCCATGAAATAAAACCTTGGAAACAGCCACCATCAAAAGCAAGCTTTCATATCTGTGATTTACAGAGAGGCACTCTGACATATTTGGGGGATTAAAAAACCCTCTATTCAAAATTTGGTGCTCCTTGAAGTGAAATCTAGTAAGCTGGAAGAACGTCTAGGGTGTGTTCAGATGCTAACAAATGTCTAGAGATAAGAATAGATCTGACTGAGCTTTAAGGGTTGTTTTACCTTTCTCCTCCCATACAGGACTTGAAAACTGCCCTATCTATCAAGCTCTTAGCACTGTGAGAAAAATCTGGCTTGTCCTTCAATATACTATAATTTATAATTTGTAATATTAGCTTTTGAATTTTAAAAATGAAATGAAATTAATACAAATAACACTAGAATTTCCTTAATATCCTGAATCATGAGTAGAAGAAGCAAGTCTAGACTCAAATATAGACCATATTTTAAAGCAAAATTCAAATCCTCCTCCAGTTCCCTGCCAAAAGCTGAGTTCAGCCCCAGAGGGTGTGAGTAGGGTTTCCTCGGCTACAGCAGCTGGCATCACCAGCACTTACAGTAGGGCAGGGAACGCCACTCCTCGGCTTGGTGTGCTGGTGATTTCATCAGCTAAAACAGGTCTTGACAAGTGCAAAGCTTTTTGCTTCACTTTTAAGGATCATGAAAACCTTTGGTGCCTGATTTAGGAGACTGGGCACTAACTTTTTGATCCGGAAAGGGAAAATGGGACATTTTCCCAATTCTAATCCTTTAGATCTGTTATTACATCAATGCATTTCTTCTAAACACAATAATAATATTTGCTCTGAAAAGAGTTCTTGATGCATGTTGAATTTGTCAGACACTTCACTTTGAGATTAGGATATGACAAATGTCCTTTCTAACATTTTTATGTTGATATATTCTCCCTCACAAAGGACAGCTTCATAAAGAGCTTGAATCAGATCCACATTCACACTTTACATATGCAGCATTTTTGTGGCTGACAAAGTTGGCTGCTCATGCAAACTAACTTGGAAATAAAGTCAAATCAAAGAAGGGCGTGCTGAGACCACTATACTTTGGTAGCTATTTTCTTCCAGCTAGTCATCATTATTATGACTAGATATTTACCCTTAGGTATGTTGAGCAGATCAGTCTGAGTCATCCATGTAGTGCTGACATTCAGTACTAGGCTGGATGTTGTCCTGTTCGGTTAATCATTATCTTTTCTGTCTGAAAGATTTGGTAATTCCTACAACTGCATAGCATAGCTATTTTGGGACTTACCAGGTGACTTCAGAGCTGACATAACCTTTCTGGTATTGTCAGTTGCAACCTATGTCATGACATTAGCATGAATTATGGCTGTCTTGAGGATATAGCACAGAGGGTCTGCAGGAAAAAAACTGTAATGAAGGTCTATACATCACACATTCAGCCCTCCCTTGCAGACTGTTTCCCTTATTGCCACATTCTCTTAGGTACCTTTTAATGAAGTATCTAAAGCATCATTTATTGCAGAGACTATGCATTATACGTGGGATGCTGCAAAATTCACCCTGCCACCAATATTATCACCATGTCCTGTTGGCCTTCTCCAAACTTGCTTAGTTCTCCATTATGCAATATACTACCATTACTTCCTTAGAGTCAATTTTTTTACCACTTTGAAAGAATGATGAAATGAATGAGCTGTGTAAGCTCATTAACAGAGTAAGTGTGTAGGCTTAAAATTACAGATAGTAGGCGAATGGTTGGAAAGTCAGTAATTCCTTTATGTATTTGCCAAGACATAGGTCAAGGTTCAGGGTTGCCTTTGCTCAAACTAGTGAAATCAGAAATACCTGCAGGTGTTCTGGGGAGTGCTGGCAGTGCACATGCAACACAGGTGATGAGGCACAGTTATCTCAGGTGTTTTCTTCAGGAGAAAACCATGCTCAGGCAAAACTCTGCTCATTTTTAATGTGCTTTTCTTCCCGCATAGTGTATTTTGTATAAACTTATTATATTTTATTTAATAGCTTTCAGTGTTTTCTACAGGCTGCCATAACCCATTTTATCTAATATTACAGTCATTTCAATTGCAGTAAATTTTGATATCATAACCCCAGCTTCTCATGTCAGTGAAATAAATAGTTAATATACAGGAAAATGTTTGTATGTTTAAGAGTAATCATCATAAAAATGTAATGCCTTTCTACTGAGAAGCCTGGTTCTTATATGCCATATCTGTATTTGTGTAAACATTTTACAAAAAGGAAAGAGACAAATGATTATAATGATATTGAAAAACTGAGATATGCATGATTAACTTGTGGTATGAGCAGCTATTTCAGAGTAAAATTCAGCCAAAGGATGGTTTTTACCCCAGAGTTCATCAACTCTTTCTTCATGAGCATTGCTCTTCAATTTTTACTGGTAAAAAGTTCACAAACTTAAAATTGAGATCCTAGGGTTTAGAACCAGGAAAGGATGTAAGGGCACATAGTGGTTCTAGGTCTGCACCCCGCAGGGCTGGTGATGTAGAGGCAGCAGCAGGCACAACCCCTACCCCTGCTCTTCTGTGTGCCATGTCTCTAACGTGAAAGGAGCTCTCTGAGAAGTCACTTCCATTTTTTTTAGCCAATATGTCCTTTGCTGGCCAGCTGAGACTATCAACAAGCAAGCAGCATTATCTGAGATGTTCAGTGTATGACGTGGACAGGGTGCCACCACTAACTGGAGTGAGATCACTGGCTGATTTCAGGTGGACTACCGTACGGCAGTGCAACAGCCCCTCCGCCCTCCCGCTACCCAGTGCACCTGGGCCAGAGCACTTTGTGCTCTTACCAAATTGTTTTTGATATATGTCTTGGAATCTACTCATAAGAAGATTGTTTTCAGAATATTGTTTTGAAACAAAATGCAATATATTTTCTGCCTTTAAATCTCTCAGCATTGTTGCAGGCAGAGTTATTTCTTACTTGTATTTTCTGTTGTCATAGTTATTCACACTGGGATTTTTTAAAAAAATTATGCTACGTGTGCATGAATATATATGACCCTTGCTACTCCATGTTAGAGAAAGTAGCTGTAAATGTTACTGCATCTAAGGGCTGGAATAATTTGTTCTTTTGACACTGACTTAATTTACACATTATTCAGGGAGCAGAAATTGAATAGGTGCCATGCAGTACTCCAAATGTCTCTTTTAGGTGAAATGACATCCCGTCTATCAGAAAAAAACATAAGCATGTGAATACGACATTTAACATGGAACAATCCCAGAGCAATATGTATTGCAGATTTCAAATCATAACAAGTCTAGCTTAAGTCACATTTTGCAGATAAGTGTTTACGCATCTGGCAGTAGAATTTTGTCCTAAATAAGCAATGTTATGAAATGAAGGAGTAATGGTCTTAAGAGCTTAACCATCTAGAGAGAGTTATATATTATATATATTATATATTACTAAAGTAATGAGTATATGAATATGCTTTAAAGGCATATCGAGTGCAGCAGAGCCTTAAAGTGATATCGAAAACATCCTGTTTTGAAATACAGCTGTTTTATGTCACAGAGCAAAATTTCCAACAGAGTCCCAATAACTGGCCAGCAATTTTAATTCCCTATGTCATTATTTCAAAAAGTTTAAGAGCAAACATTAATGTAACTTTTGTTTTTTGTTTTACTAACAGTTAATTCAGGCGATGGGATAGACTACAGCCAGCAGAAGCGTGAAAATATTGGAGATCTGATTCAAGAGACACTGGAAGCCTTTGAGCGCTACGGTGGAGAGACTGCTTATATAAACATTAAATACATGATCCCTACTTATCAGTCGTGCATATTAAACTAAGTTGTGTCAAAAGGGATGATTCCATTTGTGCTCTAAAAAAACTATATCTAACTGTGTGGCATCTTGTTAGTCATGCTTTTTTCTCTACAGCTGCTAAAGTAGTAGCTTCTGGGGCATTAGACTGTTAGCACTATTGTGAACAAGTCTTTCCAATACATAAATAGTGCCTGTTCCTTTGATTACAATGGTGTACTGTGCTTGTTTGTTCCACGAAAGAATTGCTTCTTTATAACAGAGCTGACTGGAGCAGGAATCAGAGTTAAACCTTCAGTTGTATAGACAATAAAACTATAATTTTCATACGCAATTCAGCAATTGCTGTTCTGTGTCCACTTGCCCTGAGGGTGATGTCAGAGGCTGTAACAAGAAGAGTTTATGCTGACTGCTTAATAGGTGTTTGTCATGGAAGAGAAACACCAGTTCAGCAATGCCTCTCTAGCAGCTGTGCAGAATAATGTGCACTGACACGCAATAAAACTGTTTAATGTATATACCAATTACAGTGGGAAATTTTATATGGCCCATTTTAAAGCTGCATCATAAAGTTAGTGTTTCTTTTACACGCATGATCTAGGCTTCCAGGTGTTTACCCTTTTATGAAACTTGGGTTGCTATTGGTGAACATCAGGCACAAGTGTAGTTTCAAAGAAAAAAAAAAGCAAAACTTGAATATATCAGATGGAATATGGAGTGTGCATAATATATCACTCCCTAATGACACTGCTAATCAAGATAAGCACACTGTATCAATATATATTTGGTTAGAGGGCACTGGGTAGTGACTCTAAAGTTGCTATTGTTGGAGTAACTCTTCAGAATTTCCTGCTCAGTTAGTTTCTCCCTGCATACCTACAACAGGGAATTGATATAGCCATACATTTAAGAAGGCTATCAAGATTGGCTTCATTTGCTTTATAAGCATTTCTATTAAATATACCTCTGAATAATAAAACAAGCTTTATAATTGTCAAGGACAACCATTTAAAAATTTCAGTCAGCTCAAAATCAAATGAGGAGATAGGAGCTTTGTCTAAGAAAGCTTGCGATTTAAAAAATTACAGACTTTGGACTCATTTTGTTTTTGTTCTGGTTTCTGGGAGCTCTTAAAATATACACAAGTTGCCCTTTCAAGTGTTTCCCTGGAATTGTTAGGCCTTGAAATGTACTCTTTTGTGTTAGAAGCATGAGACTTTGTCCACGTCCATGTTCACACACTGCAAGGAGTGCCTGCGTGGGAGACATGGCTCTTACCCTGCCCTGCTCTCATGGGTGAGTACAGGAATTGTGGGGTGCACCTTGCCACCTGGAGAAACTTTGAGCTAGATGTGTCATTAGACTGACATTAGCTTTGCTTTATCCCATTCTGTGGGCTCTTTAGCCTGAGGATTTTCTTTTTTTTTTCTGTTATTTTCTTCTCTTTCCTGTAACTGAAGAAAAAGTTAGGAGGAAGATTTATTTTCTTCCTGCCTCTTTGAGGAACTGCTGCATCATGTGATGCCACTGGCCATGAGAGCTCACCATTCCCCTGATTTAGGCATGACTGCTGCAGGTGTGCCTGTTTCCCAGGCTCCAGAGAGCTTTTCTTTTCTTTTCTTTTTTCTGTTATTTCTGAGTTTTCTTTTGCATGTTGCCAAGCCTTCTCTCAAGTCCCTAGAGTTTAGCCAGTGTCTATCCTGTGACTGACACATGCTTATGATGGATGAGCACATCAAATACACTGCCTCACATTTAGGGTATCTGTAAATCTTTCACCTCCCAGGCAGAAAGGAATGTGAAGCCTGTCTGTAGGCATATTTCTTGGGAAACTCTATAGCTTTGTCTTCAAGACTTGCAGCACAGAGTCTCAAAGGATACTGCAGGGGGGCTACGACCACATCTGCTCTTCCAAAATGCCTTTCTAACGCTTTCTAACCTCTTTCTAAATAGAGCATTTATGGATCACAGGTCTAGGAGCTACTCCAGAGAAAGGTCCCAGCTCAGAAAAGTCTGCACAAGCAGGGCCAGCAAAGGTAATAAACATAAGAACTAGATGGGCTAACTTCCCTTCTCTGAGAGGCAGTCTCTTCTCCCACATCCATCTTGGCACTATTCCATAGACCCTTTACTTACAGTTGCTCCCTCCGTTTCACCTCAGAAGATCCCTGCCTTTGTCCCCTGCACTGATGAGCCACATTTCTTCTTTTAGTGGCACCTATGGATTCCACAGTAAGTACAAAGTGTGCTGGAGGGCTACTGCTCAGAGGAAGCCAAGTTGTTCCACTCTGAAACAAATCATATAATGAAAAGTTTCAGGCCACGTTTCATTTCTTAGCTATTTATAGGCTTGTCCTTAAGAGAAAGCCCAGTACCACTCATATGCCTTAGGTCAAGAAACTCCTCAATAGCTGGCTTCAGTTCCACCGCCCTTCAGGCCCTGGCTGCAGAGCTGCCCGCAGAAGTGACAGGAAAGGAAAGTACTCTCGTCCCGGGACTTCCCCGTCCCACCGTCCTTCTGCATCCCAGCAGCGCTGCTGAGGATGTGATTATGTTGCAGGCTCCTCCCCAACTTTGTGAGCCTGTTCTCTGACCCTCTCTTTTTGCATCCCCTCCCCCCTTTGCTCAGCTAGGACAAGAATAGTGACTGACAGATGCCAGATGCCATGGAAAATGGCTGCTTCGTGAAGCTCCAGACTTGCCCAGACCTGATCCACTCAGCCCCACTCATTTTTTTGGAGATTCCTTTAAAGGATGTCGCTTCAACAAGGGTTGACCTTATTGCAAACCATAAGGGCAACAGAAGTCATCTCCATTCATATCAGGAAAAATGCATTTTACAGCTAAGCTCTTTTACTTGGAAGTTTGAGAAGGCTCTGCCATACTACTTCTATGACAGGACCATTGCTTTAAAAATGAACGTTCTGCCGTTACCTTGTTTATCCTAGCAGCTGGATTGATAGAAATAAACATGATAAAAACTACAGGTTGATAATTTAGGAACACCAGAAATAAAGCTATTTTAGGATATCATTTCACTAAGTCAAACTGTAGGCCTGCCAGCCTTGACAGTGTCCCTTTAAGCATGATCAACAGCATATTTATAGGCAATTACAGCATTGCTCAAAGCACTTTATAAAGCACCAGATCAAGGACCCAGGTGCTTAAAGCATATGAGTTATATTATGTCATTCAGTACACTGCTTAGCTATTTTACTATGATCAAAAATGGAATTCTCGTTTCAAAATAGTAACTGTCTCTCTTCTCAAGCTCGTGTAATTGTGGTCACCGATATTACAGGCAGCCAATCAACAGTTTCTAATTGTAATCAATTAAAAGGCATTCTGGCTCAGTTTTTTCAAGGGGTATAAATTAAGCATAGCTCCATTAAAGGCAGCCTGGCTGTGCAGAGCTGAGGTGAGCTGAGTCTTAGTATGAAATTTTTGTCTTCTGTTACTTTCTAGATCTCTAGCCACCACAAGGTAAGTAACACCAGTGAAGGATGCTGTAGGTGGTGTGCTGTGAAGTTAATTGTTAGTGGTGGTGTTTTGAAGTAAACACTTGGGATGCGTCCAGGTTATTTTGATAAATGTGTTAGCTACTTCAGATTAATTGGTGATGATCCTTTAGTTAGAGAATAAAAACCATGTGCTAACATAAAAAAAGAAAAATCTAGCTGTGACCTTTGTCTTGCATAATCCTTGAATCAAGGATGAAAGAAAAACTTTTTTTTTGACTCTTCTGCAAAGCTGAATAAAACTCTTTCACAGGTGTCATTCTGAGTCCTCTGACACTGTGTGAATGCTGATGGGTAGGATAAAGTAGTCACTATGCAAGCTGTTGGGCCACTGAATGATATGACCTGTCTGTGTGAAGCTGCCAGTGTGCGCAGAGGAGGCTCCTGGCCCTCCTGGCGAGGGATGAGGGACGGGGGTGCCCAGTCAGCTCTCGGGAGGGACGAGGCCTGGCAGAGGCCTGGGGAGGCTGCTGCTGCCAGGCTTGGCCGCAGGGAGCTGGAGCCAGGCTTCTCGCTGGTAACTTTCCAGTGCTTCAAAGAGATGGAGCTGACAAAAGGAGCTTGAAAGAGGGCCTCCCAGGAGTAAAATACAAAAGGACTATGGGAAACTTTAAATGTGAGGGAAGGTAATGGACTCTGGCTGGAGAGGGGGCAGGGGTGTTTGTGGGTGGAGGGAGGTATAGCTGCAGTCAAGCAGGGCAGAAAAGTCTAAGCCAGACACTGTGTTTTCCTAATCCCGTCTGGAGCCCTTCTGAGTTTCAGGAAAGCGTCCTCTAGTCTGAGGGGCTCTGCAGGCAGTGGGGCAGTTCACATTTTTCCACTGATCTGTAACATCCTGTGTTTTCTGCTTTAAATAAAAGCAACGATGTTTGCAGGAACTCCGTACAAAGCCTGTCCGCTTGCAACTGCTCAGCGCTGCTTTGTGCCTCCTGGAGACCGGGAGAGGAAGGTTTGTGCCCTGGCAGGACAAGATGTTCCCTGCACTGGCCCCATAATCTTTCCGGCACATGAGGGGAGGGAAGGAGAGTGTGGGGGCATATCTTAGCTGTGCTTGCTCTTGCCTGGCAAATATAGCCTGGGTATGTCTGTGAGCTTTCCCCTCCTTAGGGCTGTGAGCCCTACTGAGGGAGAAGGAGTGGCTCCCACCATCTCTGGGGCTGTCGGCGGGCCCCCCAGCGTGGCCTCTGGTGAGGTGGGGGGGGGAGTTTGAGTCTGGGGCACAACCTGCAACCTCGGAGAGGAAAATGTGTGTTCTTTACAAAGCTGGAAGTGTGCTGAGCGTCCCTCTTACGATGCCAGTTCGGGTATTTACCACATAGCCCGACAAATACTGAATTTTTAAGAAACACCTAGGGGTGAGTTAGGCAGCTGAAGAACTGCTTTGGCTGTGCTGCCCTGACAAAGCGCCTCTTTGTAAAACTGCGTTCGCTCTGTAAAGTGGGGGAAGCAAATGCGGCAGGAATGTAAAGCACAACTCGGAGTCAGTGAGCCCGGCGTTTGAGATCATGCTGCTCCCCTGTTTGCACTTCCCCAACAGAAACGGAAGTGTCTGATCTCAGTCGGCCCAAGCTGTGGCACTCGCAGGTCTAGCGTGCCTTCGATTCCTCTTCCTCAGATAGAAAGGGAGGGGGAAGGGGAAGGCGCGGCTCAGATTTTTTTGCTAAGCGAGTCCCTCGCAGAGACGGAAAGCCTCAAGCTGCAGAAGAATTGGCGCATTCTTGGGAGAGGAAGCGCATGGTGCAGCGGCAGTGCCGGCGTGGCCGTGGCCAGACACGCTTTCGGGACTGCACCCTCTCCGGTGTTGGCCCCCATGGGCACCCACGCGCAGGAGCCCTCTGAAACGCTGCAGCCGCTGTGATCTACTGCACCTGGCCAGTCAAGGTGCAGGATAAAAGTAGCTACAATGGCAACTAATCCTGCTGCTTTACAATGCTGAAAGGAAGGTGAAATCTCAGCCTCCTTTCTATATCTTAGTGAAGGTGGGTTAAATTTGCTGAGACAACAGGTAAAAAGGGGTCATTTAAGTAGAATATCCGTAGCACTGGGTGTTGTAAGCCGATCTCAAGCTATATGGCTGTGATGGACCCTCGGTTTATTAAGAAACCTAGGCAACCCAGAATTCCTGTGTTGATCTGCATCAGCATAGTGTTTAAAAAAAAAAAGTCAGAGGCTGGGGCGAAGGGGAGGAAGGGTGAGGTGACAGACAGACAGGCAGGGTATTGGCTGCAAGGCCATTTACCACCTCAGCTTGCTCCATTCTGTGATACAGCAGGAGCATGTCAGTCTCAGCATTCATCTTTGCAGCTCTTCCACCTCTGCAGTCATACAATACGCCACTTGGTACAGATGAGTTGGTGCCACCATCCTTAAGGTGAATGCAGGTAAATGTACTAGTGCTTTTAGTGATGTACAGCATAGTCACGTGCAGCTGTGCTACATCTACGAGCATCCACGAACACTCTGTTCTTTCCAAGGCATTATACCAGTCTACCACAAAATAGTGCTCTCTGAAATTGGTAAAGCATTCAAAGAAATGGTGTGGACTCAACCATCTAGAAGCTCTGGGAGGTCTCCATATTACAGGCAGATCCTGTCTAGAAAGGGTACAGTTCCTGGGCTCAACAGTGGTGGATGCCATGGCCAGCTTGGGGTGGGTGAGGTAAAACTTATTTATGTCCAGCAACCTGGTGTAACACGTTGTTATGTTAATCCAGAGTGGCTCTTGCTTTAAATGCATGGTCTTTCCAGTTCTCTATCAACCTTTAATTTCTTTTTTTCTGGGTGTAACTCCTAAGTCCTTTCCTAAGCAGTAATTGCCAAAGAGCAACTCTGCTTCACTTACTCTTCCAAAAAGAGATCCTCACATCTCACCGTCTCCGTCTTATGCATTAGTCCTATTACTTCATTTCTGAGTGTTCGCACTTTGTGCTTCTTCCAGTTCCCAGTGGTGTTGCACCAAGCTGAAGAGAGAAGCTGTGAGAGCTGAGCATGTGGAAGAGCAGCTGATAAAAAGGCCATAAGGGACTAGTTATTCCGGCAAAGGCTTTTCCTTCGCAGTTTCCTTTTTGGAAAATGCGAGTTTTGGGGAACTTGCATCTCTCCCACCCCAGAGCTGCTCCCTTGGCAGTAGCTGAGGCAAACACTTCTGGAATTAAACCTCCTCCCTTCTCCTACTGCATAATGCAGCAGTATAGTGGGAGAAAAATATCTGTTCTGCTGGAGTTGGCGGACTGGAATGAAAGTAAATGGCGGGAAGCTCTTGGCAGGCTCATGACATCTGAGAGGCTACATTTCTCTGGCTTTTTGGGACCTTCTGGCTGTGCATCTCAAACCCCAGCTTCACAGGCTGACCATTTGTCCCTTCCAAATACTCTTGGCTATTTCCAGCATTGAAACTCATGTAGCTTTCTGTGGCAGAGTCTTTCTAGGCTCACAAAAAACCAACAAACTATGTGAAGAGAAGTTCTTTTTTAGCCTTGCCCTAGCTTCCCCCCACCTCGTACTCCGAAGCCAAATACACAAGTATTGATTATAGTCATCCATAGGCTGTCCCTTGGGGTGAGGTGGTGCTTGCAGGGCCTCTGTCCATAGCTATGCCAACCATGCAGTCATATTCATTGGCCCAGTAGGTGTTGAATGAAGGTTTCTTGTGTAACTGTAAAGTCATATTTCCCGTGTGTTTGTTCCCTGCCTCTCCCACTTCCCAAGATGCATCTTGTGGAGTTTGGGGTTTTAAGACCGCCCTTCGCGGCTGGCAGATGGTGATCCCCACTCAGGCAGGACACATGCCAGTGCTTCTTCCAGTTTTTTTCCAAAACTTGGGCTGCGTTGTAATCCCTCCTTATTTACTAAATGAAGTTTAGTCCTGTGTGCTATCGCAAAGGCTCCTGTATAAATCTAGGAGGCGAGAAGGCTTGGTAACAGCTGCCCTTTAAAGGTTGATGTTAACAGCAGTGCTGTGAGCTTTCTCTCCGGCCCGGTAGCAGGTGCGAGGAGAGGGAGAGCCAAGGTTCGGTGCGTCCCGGCTCTTACGGCCAAAGGCTGCTGCTTGTGACAAGGGCTCGCAGTGTCCACCCGCTCCCCCCTGCCAGCTTCCTGCAAACTGCCCCCTATGAGCCCCCGCGCCCAGGGAAGGATGGGCATCACGGGACTTCACCGCTCGCTTCCCGGGTGGCTTACAAGGGGCGGATGGAGCTGGCGAGGCCTCCTGCAGGGCTGCCCCGACAGCACGGGGGGCACGACGGCACCGAGCTGGACACCTCGACGCGCTCGGTGCCGTCGTGCCCCAGGGACATGAACTGCCGCCCAGGGCGGCTGCAGGAGGGCGAGGGGTGTCCATCAGGGATGAACTATTAGCGCTATTAGGACTAATAGCGCCCTGTATTTCCCCTGCTCTTCGGAAAGTAACTAAAAGTCTTGTCGATTGGAGAAAACAAATGAATAATGCCTAGCAGAAGTAATGCTTTAAATCAATTAATGTAAGGCCGAGGATAAAACCCAGGTCTCTTTCAAAATACTCTGGGTGGAGGGGAGTGCTTGGAAGCCTAACTGTTAATACTGCGTTTCATGGTGTGCATTTTATTCCTCAGCTATTCACTTTATGCTTGAAACTTTTTTATTAATACTGAATCATTTATGTCTGTTACAAAGGAAGAAATTGCTACTGCACTGCCTCAAGAATCAAAGTAAAGGGAACATCTGCTCTAAACTTCTTGCATGCAATTATTGCTTGCTATGCGTTATTACTTACTGAAGTAATGTGACTAAATTAAAGCTTTTTTTTTTCTTTCGG